CAGAAAGAAAGGACAAAGAAAGGGGGGAGAGAAGAGGGCAGGGGTAGAGTGGAAGGGGGGGGGGGGCAGGTTAAGGGCAGAGTTAGTGTAAAAGATGACAGGACCGAGTAAAGTAGGGTATACACGGGTACATGATCGTTCATATGAAAAATCCAGTCGGAATGTTTGCTACAGGCATCAGAAACTTGCAGGTTGTGTGTCGAAATGTTGTTGTTTTCCTTTTTATTTAACATGCTAGTTTGGAATCAGTGGAGTTTCCGTACGTAAACCACATTCACTGTTAGAAATGTGTTCCATTGGAAAAAAAAATCCAAAACGCAACATCAAATTTGTTGTCACTCTGGTCGAAATCGATCATCGGTTTGACCCCACCAACGATCAAAAAGTCCAACGAACGTTCCCAAATCAATTTAGTTCACTTTAGAGTGGGGGGTACAGAGGGCAAAGTTAGTATAATAGAAGGGAGGACAGAATTAGAGTAGGGGAAGGGAAGACAGAGTAAAATTGTGTACAGGCGACTCAAGTTTAAGCCGGTTCCTGATGATCCAGGCAAAATTCATACGGTGGGTGCTGCACCCTTCCGCCCAGCCCTTGCCCTTGATCAGCTGATTGAAGGAGCTGGTTGAAAAATTCTAGGTTGAGCGGGTCTAGCAGCCAATCAGCTCCGTACAGTGGTTGGTGTCAGAATATAATGCAAACAGCAGGTGATTTGTCCATCAACGCTTGTAAGCACGCAGGTTGAAAGAAAAAAAAATAGAATGGTGTAACGCTACTTCAAAAGGACATTTCACACCGGTTCTGTTTCATTGCAATCCGTTGTGTTGTAATACATTCTTCAACGCATGCCAACGTAAGGGCAATGAAAGATGAATGAGTGTGAATGGGGCTAGTTCATACCACTGCATTCCAATGCGATGCATGAAAAAAAAGTAGAACATACATTTTTTCCTGCACAATGTAACACAACGGATCCAGTGTGAACAGATCACAGCGCAATAAATTGGAAGGAAATCGGAAGGTACAATTACAAGTCAATGGACCATCTGTTGACTTGCGATTTCCTTTGGATTTTGCTGTGAATGGGCCCAAAGGTGGGGAAAGGTAGGGCAGAGTTACTGTGGGGGAAGAGAGGACAGACTAAAGGTGGGGAAAGAGAGGACAGAAGTAAGGCAGGGTAGGAGGAGGACAGAGTTAAGACAGGGAAGGGAGGAAAAAGTTAGGTAGTGTATACATTGTTATATTTTTTTTTTGTTCAATCTGTGGGCTGAACAGAAAAAATATAAGAGATTTCTCCATCCACGCTAACCAGCATGGATGAACGAATCTCCCACTGGGAGCTTTGTATTGTGACAGCGGCCAGCGCCTGTGCTTGCACCGAGCTGTAGGTGGAATAGGCAGCAAAAAGGCAGAACCTGCAACCTATGATGCTGAGGTAGTTCACAAATAATGGGAGAGCGCACTTTGGCCTATTTGCTTTGGATGCTAAAGGACCTTGTCCCACCACCGGAGTAAGGTTAGTGGAAGGAAGGACATAGTTAGGGTAGGGAGGAAGGAAGGACAGAATCAAGATGGGGGGAGGGAGTACAGAGTTAAGGTAAAGGAAGAGAGGACAGAATTATGGTAGGAAAAGGCAGTCAGGTCAGGTAGAAACTACCACAATTTACAGCAAAGGAAGTACAGGCAATATCTGATAATACAGTAACGTCATGTTACTGTACACTGTGACTTTTTGGTAAATAATAGTACAAGATTTTCACCCAGTAAATCGTTCTGCGACAGCCAGTCCATAATTTTCACGTTGGGAGGAATTTCCACCTCTTGTGGCCATTTTGACCTCTGATACCTCCAGATCACTTTCTGCTGAATCTTAGCCAGTCCGTCGTTCATCTCCTTGAGGAAGTCCATTAGAGGGAGCGAGGACAACATCGATCCCAGAGTCACCACAATAAAACCAGAATCTCCGGAGTCGGATATAAAGTCTTCCAGTTCCTGAATGTATTGAAATATTATAGAAATGAATGTGCATTTCATTAGGCAATAAATGTCTGTCTGAATTTTTAAACATGGGTCCTTGACACATCACCTTCAGCAGCTCTCTACTGTGCATTTCAAGCTGACCATAGAATTGTGATGCTACTCATGACATGTGACTATAGCTACTTACTGCAATTAACATGAACCTGTCATCTATTTTATTAAGTAAATGAAAGTAATTAAATCTATTTTATAAAGTAAGTAAAAACATACTAAAGCCTTAGGTAAATATATCCTTAGTAGAAAAACTATATCCAAAAGAGTGTGTTATACTATGTGTTTAATTATTAGACATGTACCTGCTCTTATGTTTGTATATGTGGTTTAGATGATCCCATTTGAGTGCCAGCAGCAGTTATAGCTTCTATCAGTTCAGGCACTGTGACCTTACAATGGAATAGGAAAGCTGAGTAATACCTTTCCCACACATTGTAAAATATTCTTATAATTTAATACGCTGTTCCTTTTCTATTACAAGTTCAATAAATTACATTAGGGGCAATAGGAAAACATATACTTAGTGGGAATTATGTGATCTTAAAGTAATTAACCTTTCCCGCACAGATATAAATGAAACGTTGCCTCATTTTATGTATTGTGCCTCTTTATAGCTTAAGATTAAGCTTTAGGTAAATATATATTTAGTTAGTACTGTTTAAGTCTTCCTGTACTATTACAGATATTCACTAGTCATATGTGGTGGGTGTTGTGGCTGTGAGTGATGATAGCACTACTTCATGGTTTATATCTACCTGGAAGACGATTGTGCAACTAGTTGTTACCAGAATCTGTTATCATAACAACTATGTATAGTAATCATTATCGGCTAATTTAATCTTGGATTGTCTTTTTATATATGTTTATGGATTTGATATGTGATCTAGGGCTATGGAATTGTAAGGGTTAATATGTGACATGTGGTCCAATAGGATGTACCATATTTTTCCGTCTATAAGACGCCCCTATGTATAAGACGCCCCCAACTTTTCTTGCCCAAAATTCCGAAAACAATATTTTAAATGGTATAATGCATCACACTTACCTCAATCACGTTATGCTCCGACATTACAGCTCCGGGCACTGGCTACACGCTCTCCCCAGCAACAGCTGACGTCAGGTACAAAAGATTTATGATCGGATTACAGAGACAAGATAACAGTTTTCCTCCAATCATAAATCTTTTGTACCTGACGTCAGCCGGCGCTCGGGAGAGTGGATTACAGAGCCACTCTCCCCAGCAACAGCTGACATCAGGTACAAAAGATTTATGATTGGAGGAAAACGTATCTTGTCTCTGCAATCCAAAGTTTCACTCGTGAGGCTACGGTAGTTTGTAGTGGTTTCGGCAGTTTCGCAACGGCGGTTCTCCTCTCGGCCCCCGTGTATAAGACGCCCCTCTATTTTTAGGTAAACATTTTAATGAAAAAGTAACTTCTTATACACGGAAAAATACGGTATATAGAGCACTCTGGGCATCCCCAGCTCCATGTCCCCGATGAAGGTGATCTGTACATAGCTTGTGATGCAGAGAGGTGGGTGGAGCAGACGAAGGAAGATTGCAGCTGGTTCAGCTTATCTAGTGGTGTTGCTTCCCATCCCATATCATGACAGTTTTCTGTGGTGCAGTTGGACTTTTATGGTTTTATGTGAGTAGAATTTTAAATGAGGGTGTTATATGTTGTTTATGGTGTACACCAGGGCTCAAAATTTCAGGTTCTGAACTACTAGCCAGTCCTTTAGAGTTACTCGTACTCTGAACTATGTCACGGAATAGACTCAGGGCCATCCAATGCAATAGACTTAGGACCCTGCAACGCATTCATTTTACTATTTCATTAATGATTAAATATTAATTATTTAATAATATTATTTACTCAATATTGATTATTATTATTATTATTGAACTGTGTGTTTATTTAATGTGAGCACTACACCTTGTGTTTTTTCAAACCAAAACCTAAATATAAGTGCCGTGCTAGACTACTAAACATAAATCTGTAAGTTAGTATATAGACTTGTGTGTGGGGGATTGAACACAGTGGGTTTAACACATTAGTTATATCTTCATGGAACATTGTACTTTTGTGCAGGAAATATCATATTTATCAAATTCTGCATTTGCTGTGATCCCAGTTGTTCTTACAGTAGTGAGTCCAGCATTGGTGTGGGCGTGTCTGTCAGCGGGGCAGCATCAGCATGAGACAGAGAGAGTGTGAGCCCTAATACACCGGCTGAATTTCCACTCTTCATTTGCACTCGCAAAATGCGAGCAGGCGAGTGGAAATTTTGAGCTCTGGTGTACACTATGGCCTATACTTCTTATTTTGGGCTTAGTTAATATAGCATCTGGCTTCTTGGGAACATGTGTGTGGTTGGACAGGTGGATTATAACCAGTGGACTGCATTAAGGATAGACCCACGCCTGGCTCTAAACCAAAGGGAGAAACAGTGTTGTTCAGACCTATTGTCCAGGTCTGAGTCCAAGGTGAGCAGCTGTGTTTGGTGTTTATACAGTGGTCATCATCTGGTTGTGGGAAGACTCCAAATTATTTGTGGCTATTTCTATTTGGGCTAATTCTTGTATTAGGATATATATGAATTTTGTACACTGGGGTTGTGGGAGGAATTCCCTTTATTTGATGCACATGTTGTTTGATATACAGTCATGTTGGTTGTATTTATATATTGTTTATTTTTAGTTTTGTAGTTTGTACACACTTAACTACTTGCTGACCGGGGTATTATACCCCCTTCCTGTCCAGACCATTTTTAAGTATTCAGCACTGCGGTACTTTGACTGACATTTATTCCATCATGCAGCACTGTACTGAAATTAATTTTATACAATTTTTTGGGGACAGATAGAGCTTTCTTTTGGTGGTATTTAATCACCACTCGCAGTTCTATTTTTTACTGTAAAATGAAAAAAGAACCGAAAATTAAAATAAAAAAAAACTGCCTCTCTTTATGTTATAAAACATTTATCAGCACCCAAATTTTTGGTAAAATATAAAATTTAGGGTCATGTTGGGTAAATAGACACTAAACATGTCAAGCTTTAAAGTTGCATGCGCCCGCGAAATCGCAAAAAAAACTACCATGCCTAAAATTGTGCATAGGCGACACTTTAAAATATTTTACCGCTCATCAGTTTAGTGCTATGAGTGATTGATGGGCCTACAATTATTGCTCACACTATGACATTCACAGCGTATTTACGTTTGTAAGTGCGTGCACGTGGGGGCGGGGGACGTAAAACTTTTTTGGGTGTTTTTATTTTTTTTTAAGGTGGGACTTTCTGCCATCCAACCGTAATTTTGAAGTGGGCGGACGGCAAGGGGTTAATATTATACTTGTGTCATTACTTAGGATAGCAGGACACATACATAATTGCATTTGATATCTTGGCGACAAATAAGGGCATTCTAATTCGACAAGGGAATGGTTGATCCAAAACTTTAATTAATAACAAGCTACTTATGGATTTCAAGAGGTTAAACTAGTGTTACGGAGTAAGATTATGGTTTGCAGTTAAGTTATGGTGAGGGTCAGAGGTTGAAGTTAATTTCAGGTAAGTGAAGAAAGAACATTTCCCAGGTTTTCATCATTGCATGTGTCTTCCCATTCCATTGACACAGCAATAAAAACCTGACATAAATTCTGACCAATAATTACTCCAAAACTAATAGGAAAAATGGCTTGAGTCAGAATTGTATATCCCTTTAACATGATTTATTAAAACAAAAGTGATTCAGCCATACTCACTTGTGATAATGGTTTTACAGGTTTGGCCAATAATCCTCCAATGTACTGAACGTGAGGCAGAAGCGGACGAGGAAACTCAAGGGTGAAGTCAATGTTGTATAGCCAGAGCTCAGCTTTCAAGTGAAGATCAGGTATATTTGGTCTAGACTCAGCAGGGAAATGTTCTTCGATGACACCATCAAATGTCGAGTCAATCATTTTCTGGACTACGAATGAACCCAGGAACATCAACGTGTTCTTTAAACGTCCAAAGAAATCCATTTGGTCACTAAGCTGCGTCTGGAACAATGGAACATAGGACAGAGGAACCGGCATTCCTACACGGTCAGCGTTGGCCATAATCCCAGGAAAGAAAGCAATAAATGGAAGTCCCAGCTTCTCGGAAACCAGGAAAGTGCAGGGGTTGAATGCGTCCACCACTGCAATGTCATAATGTTCCTCCTTCAAAAAGTTTATGATTTCTGACTGGTGTAAGGTTATGTTGCACTGATAGGACAGCTCCTTCAAAAATGTAAGGACGGACTGCACTCCACGTCTGAAAAAAAGATTGCTTCACCTAGTTTGACTTATATTTAAGTTATCATAAATTGCAACTTGGTTACAGAAAACATGATTATTAAATGATTATTATTATTATTATTCAGGATTTATATAGCATCACAAGTTTGCGCAGTGCTTTAGAAAATATAGGGAGACAGTACAAGAGGGTTAGAAGGACCCTGCTCATGAGAGCTTACAATTACATTCACAAATCGGGAAATATGCCTTCTTTCCTCTAGAACTCACTCAAACTGTGGGATCCATGACCAAGAGGTAAAGCATTGGGAGGCCATGGGAAATCAATTGCCTAAATTTTAAAGTACAAACCCGAAAGCGCTCATCTCCGAGCCCTTCCAGGTTCAAAGCTATCACACCGTGGCTGTGAAAACTGTAGATCTTGGACAGTTTGTCCTCAATCCAACCCAAGTCTAACAGCACAGTCTAAATTCCCCCTCTGTTCAACCCCTATCTGAACTGCTTTTGGTTTCCTCTAGTAGAAGCCCTAATGGTATATTTATGGGTACCTGCCCCCTTGGAGCCCTAATAGCATGTTTCTGAGTCGTCGTGCCCTCCTTGGAGCCCTGACGGTATGTTTCTGCCCCCTTATATTTATGGGTTGCCCCCCGAAATTGCCAGGTATGTTCTTGGTATCACCACCTGTACCCCTACTGAATATGTTTCTGGTTTCCTTTTTCCCCCCATGGACCCCATTGAATAAGTTTGTTTTACCATACCTGCCTTTTAGAAACTCTTTCTGATTTTCCAGAAAAATATCCATAAATTCCTGAAGATATTTCTCATCAAGGGAATAAGTGGTGACTTGATATGGACTTGGCGGTGGCTTGTAACCTGAACATCAAATACAGTTTATTAGTTGTATGCACTGTGCCTACTATTGCCATAGTGGGTCCTGCAGACAATGCATATCCTATTAAAATACAACTCACACCTAACTGAGCTAGCAGCTTGCAGTCCTGAAAATACATATTATGTTATGTCATATTATGTGCTACAAAAACCTAAGGAAGTCAACAAACAATTATTTTAGCATTTTTTAACAATTACTATTCCATATCTGGCTACCTTAAAGTGACCATGTTACCACAGGGTCACATGTTCACAAGGCAAAGCCCTATAAAAAAAATTGCAATATATGTACCTGTCTGGTGGCTCATTTGCTGAAAGGCCACTGTTCTGCATTTCCCTGATCGGTGCAGGTATTTAACCCTTTAGCTAATAGCGCAACCTGTGAGAAGCTGTATACAGCATTTGCACTGAATCCAGTGACTGACAGGTTATGCAAAATGCCTTAAACAGGAAGGGGTGGGGCAAATTTAGATTGGGGGGTGCCCGAGTTTCGTCTTGCCTAGGGCAGCACAAAAGCTAAATACACCACTGCTGACACCCCTCATCTGGACAGCAAGTGAGGAAAAATCTCCCTCATGGGCATACAGTTAGCAATAAAAAGCAGAAAGAGGTTCTAACGCATCCCCACTCTATTAGACAGTTTGTTCTTATTGATGATTGTATACTGTTGTAGGATGGGCCCTCACTTCCTGTTCTATCAGACACATGACAGTAAGTAGACATCCCAACTCTCCCGGACGCTCCGGGAGTCTCCCGCTATTAGATAGCGGCTCCCGGCCGCCCGGGAGAGAAACACTTTCTCCCGGAAAGGTTTACTCTGCTCGATCGAGCAGAGTAAACCTATCCCTGCTGGGGTTTTTTTTTCTGACACCAGAGCCGCCGTCAGTCAGAAATAAAAAAAAAAAACAGCATAGGAATGCATAGCTAGATTCTTATTGGCTATTTCACTTTGCAATAGCCAATAGCAAACTACCTATTGCACCCGCCCACTGCTGCTGTCAATCAGCAGAGGGGGACCTGGTGTTCTCCATCAGAACCTCTTCTAGTGATTGACAACAGCAGACAGCAGCAGCAGAGGGCGTGTGCAATAGCCAGCTTGCTATTGGATATTGCACATTGAACAAGCCAATAGTAATCTAGCAATGCATTCCTATGAAATTGCTCCCTGAAATTGCTTTTTTCAGGTTAGATCCCTGCAGTAAGTGGGGACATTTTTCCTAATTTCTTGGTCTGTCTGGCATCTACCATACAGGGCCAGACAGCAGTAGAAAGAGGTTCTAATCCTTACACACTCTATATTAAACAAAACAATGTTGGAGTTTGGTTTTATGTAACTTTTGATACCCTTCCACTAGCAACTTCTAAAACATTTGCTGAATGCAAAAGTATTTATCCGAATCTGTATCTGTTATTATCCATCTGAGTATAATATTTCTAGTATAGACTAACCTGGAAGCATTCCTTCCCCAAACTGCAGGAACATTCTCACTTCATGTCCATTGTTATGGAGGATTCGGGAGATCTGGTCCATCAGGAGGTAATGACTTCCACCTAGAAACACAAGAAACGAAAACACAAAATATGTTTCTTACAGGATGGCCACCGGAGAAATCTCGGCGATGAGGGCAAAGGCAATGTTATACAGGATTTATATAGCGCCAAGAGTTTGCACAGCGCTTTACAATATAAGGAAGACATTACAATCACAATACAATTCAAGACAAGATGATAAGGACGGCCCTGCCCCTGAGGGCTTACAATCTATGAGGGAGGGGAAAGTGATACATGAGGAGGTAAAATTTCCCCAACTACCTCTCAGCAGTTGCTTACTTACCTCCATTTCAACCTACTACGGCTTTCACACCCCTTCCATTGTTCAGTGTCACCTGGGTCTGCCCACTGTGTACCCATTGGATTGAATAAGCTGTATACAGGGACTTGGAGGCTGTGGGGCTGGAACAAAGTTAAGTAAGCAGCTGCCAGAGGAGGTTAGCACAGACATGTAACCCGGCATAAAATTTGTTTTGTTTCAGATTGATTTGGATTTTTATTCTTTTAATTTTTCAAAAGATTGTTATTTGGATTTCAGATCCATCCAAAGTTTTGTTTCAGAACAACTCGAATTTTGTTTTGAAATATGACCTTTCCTGTAATGCAACCCCCAACAGCCAAAAAAAATCTGATTTGCCAGAGAACGGTTACATGTCCAATTTAGTTTTGTTTTGAATGAAATTCGAACACATCCGAATTATGTTAAACGGACAATTGGATTCGTTCACATTTGGGCGCGTTCAAATTCGGATGCATCCGAATGTCCTAATTTAACGAAATACGTACTAATATCCATTCGGAACAAAACAAAATTTACATGTCTACTTAGAACTAGACATGTAAGCTGCGGAAAAATTTGGCTCGGTTCGGATATTTTGTTATTTCGGGATTGGGATCCGAAATTCAATTCCTTTCACGTTTATGATTTGGATGAAATCCGAATTTTCATTAGTTTCGGATGAGTTTACGAATATTCGTTGCGAATACCACAGAAAACCATATATTAATACTAAAGCTGAAGCTCCTAGACCCGAATGGCATTTGGGAGTCCAAATTTCCAAATGCCATTTGGGAGCTCCAGAAAGCCATATGTATATGGTCTTGGAGCCATATACATATACATACATAATATTAAAGCTGAGGCTTCCAGACCCGAATGACATTCGGGAGCTCTCAAATGCTATTTGGAAATTCGGCCTCCATTTGGGTCTTGGAGCATCAGTTTTAGCATTATGTTATGGGTTGGACTTGATGGTATGGGTTGGACTTGATGGACATATGTCTTTATTCAACCCCAAATACTATGTAAATACTATATATAATTAGTATTCTGTAGTACGAACGAATATTCGTTGCAGCAACATTGTGACCCATATATACATAAAACTAAACCTGAGGCTTCCAGACCCAAATGGCATTCGGATTCTGACCCATTTCGATGCATTAAACTGAAAAACACATCTGATTGGCCAGAAAAGTCAATTGTCCAATTAAAGGGGGAAATACAGAGAGCATTGCTATTGCTGGCTGAAGTTCTGAAGCTCCTTCCCGTGATGGACTACAAACTCACATTTAGTATACTAATTTGTACTGAGATTCTAGTCCATCACGGGAGCGATCTTGGAGGGGTGACTACTTTACAACACACACAGGGACCATGGGGAACAAAAGTAGCCCCCCTCCAGAAGGAAGGACAGTGTCAGCACCAATTCAGAGATGATTTGATGATCTGCAGCCGAGTGATACACAAATAAGATACAATTTTTGCTAATAGTTAGGTTACTTGAATGTATTGGTTATATAGTAAGATTTAACTCCTGAGTTTAGTGTCACTTTAATTGCCTCCATGCTTGGTCCACATCAGTATTAAAAGCATACAATCAGTTAAACAACCAGGCAAAGCAACTAATACGCCCTACAGGAACGGCGCCCCAATAGTAAAGTGTATTTCCACTTTTTCAGCCAAATTGGGATAACACCTATTTTACATTTGTTACTTGTTCCCATTCACATCACATAAGCTAAAAAAAATATTTAAACTGTTTTTACTTGGGGTAGGGTTTTAAGGGTTAATATCTCTACTCACTTATGTTTCTTTGCAATGTTAGGGGAGGCTGTAAGGGATGAGGGGTCTGAGGTGGCTTCTCCATTGTATGTTAAAGTGAATGAGAGAAACATATAATCCGCACATTTCAGTCCCAATCCTTTCCATTAGGACGGACCACCCTGAAGGTGCTGAGAAAAACCTGGAATTGGCCATCTTGTCTGCTGTAACAAAACAGGTAAGAAATATATATATTTTTAATTATTTTTCTTTATGCAGTGTGAATAGGATCACATAACAAGCATACAGAGGGGGTTTTCTCAAATGTTACTGCAAATGTGGAAATACACTTTAAGTTCTGAACAGAGTGCAGCAGGATTATTTATTTGTATTTTTGATTTTGTTTTTGTGGGTGCTCATATCCCATTATTGAAGATATACCCTCGCTGCATCGATTTAACCCCATCAACGATTAAAAAGTCAAGCAAACGTTCTGAAATCCATTTTATTCTTTTGAAATTCTAAGTATGTACAGGCCTGGATTCCCCACAAGGCCACCGAGGCCCGGCCTCGGGGCGGCAGGGCGCAGAGGGAAGGCAGCGGTGTCCTTGTGGGGAAGTTGCCCTCTCTACATTCAGTCCTGCTTTGTACAAGCCGGACTGAATGTAGAGTGAGGCAGACGATTTTTCGTTTGCATGTGAACCTAGCGATGTCGCCGAGATCACATGTAAACAGTGTGCAGCCTCCTCCTCCCCTCCCCCCTGCACTTACCTCTCTCCTCTGGTTCCGTCCTCCGCCGCCGAGTCTCTCACTGCAGTGAGCAGAGCGGTAGGGTTAAAAGTAACCCTGCTGCTCCGTGTACACAATGAGAGGAGAGCTGTGCTCTTCCTCTCTCACCTGTCACAGGAGTTCCAGCACAGTGCTGTGCTAGAACTCCTGTATTGGAGGTGACAGGGTCAATAAAGAGAACCTGTCACCTCCAATTGCTATCACACAGGGGATTGTTTTCTCCTGTGCGATAGCAATAAATTTAGGTGAAAAAATTTTTTTACAAAATAATATGAAATAATTAAATAAAAAAATAAAAAGGTGATTAAAAAGTAGAAAATAAGAAAAATTATTAAAAAATAAGAAAATTATAAAAAACAATAATAAGGTGAGAGTCCTCCTCAGCCCT